CCTAAACCCCATATATCCCTTTAAAGGGCCCCTACGGAATGAGGTGCCGGCGCTATGGCCGTGGCCTCCGGCGTCGCCTTCGTGGCTCCGGGCTCCCAGGTGCTTTCGGGGCTTTTTGGGAGTTTGAGGGTAGGGGCCCTAGGTCCCTTTAAAGGGATATCTAGGGTTTAGGGCTTAGGGTTTGAGGGTTTTAGGGTTTAGGGGTTTAGGGTTTAGGGGTTTAGGGTTTTAGGGCTTTAGGTAATTAGGGTTTAGGGTTTAGGGGTTTAGGGTTTTAGGGTTTTAGGTCATTAGGGGTTTAGGGTTTAAGGGTTTAGGGGTTTAGGGTTTTAGGTAATTAGGGGTTTAGGGTTTAGGGTTTAGGGTAGTTGAGGATATCCATCTAAATCGGGTTGCCCCAAGATTAGGGGACAAGGGAGAGAGAGAGAGAGAGAGATATATATATATATATGGTTAATAGAAAAGAAAATGGAAACTAACATGTAGGGTTGTGGTTCAGGTTTAGGGATTAGGGTCTAGGGTATAGGGTTTCCCAAAATTAGGGGTACCTTTGTGTGGCTCCCTATAAGAAGGACTCTAGTATTTGGGGGCTTTGTCCACCTATTGAGGGAATCGACCAAATGGGTTACGGGGGTACTTAGGGATAGAAGGGGATTTGTAGAGACGTATGGGTCGCGTCCAAATCGCCTGTTTACTTCATTTTAGTCTAGGCGGTAGTTGTTGCCCAACAATCTCCAAGATCGATATGAGACGTCCTCCTGCGATAGGCTTGGTTCATCTAGGCCAGGGTGGATGCCCCGACTCAAAACCAATAGAGGCTAAACATGTAATTTATTTCGAGGCCACTTCACATATATATATATACATATTACATATATGTATATAAATGCATGTACCTAAGGTAGGGGGTTGTGGGTAGCATTTTGTCTGGCGTGACTTTATGTAGCCCCTAGCATAGAGTACGATTACACCCTCACTTTGGTTATTCGTATTTTCGAAGAACATTCTCTTACTTTACTTGGTTCAAGTTTGGGGCCTAGGGTTTAGGCGGGCTTATAGGGTATCCTGGGGTCTAGATTATTTATAGGGTTTAGGTTTGAGAGGGGCATCAGGGTTAGGGCTTAAGTAACCCTGAGATACCTGGATTGCTTGGATTTTGGCACCAATATTGCGAGAACTGTGCAGAGATAATTTAGAGAGACTACCAGATCTAGTCGACTGGGTTGCTTAGGGTTCAAGGTTTAAGGTATTAGGCAGGGCAGGGAACTGTCCATGGATGATGGGATTCAAGGACTAGGTGTCAAAATACTGGGGCAGTCTTGAGCGGGTGAGCTACGTTTGTCATGAAACACTAGTGGAACCGCAATGGATGCTATAATCAACCATGGGAAGTGACTTGACTTGGACATTACTCAGGAGTGTTCCTACCCTAAACCCAAAATCCCTAAACCCCAAGCACAGGATTCCTCGCATTTGGGGATTTGGAACGTTTGTGGTTTAGGGCTCCAGGCAACTCTAAACCCTGCGGTAAACCCAAAAACCCTGAACCCCAGACCTCTAATTAAGCCAACAACCCTAAACCCAAAACCGCAAGCTCCTCTCAAGGGGCCTTAAACTTTTATAATAGACTACAATATACTATCATATACTACATTATACATGATATATTGTACATTGTAATATACAATCTATTATAATCTACTATGTTATATTGTAATATCCTAAACCCTAAACCAAAAACCCTCAACCCTAAACCCTAAATGCATACTACAATACTTTAGGTTTTGGTGCTTGGGAGTGAGAAGGCTTTGTGACAGGGCGTCGCGTTTCCTTTCAATGGGGTGCAAAGTTCAGATGCAATGGAAACTTTAGGGCTTAGGGTTTAGGGGTTCAGGGTTTTAGGGTTTAGAAGCCCTTAAACCTAAACCTTCTACCGCAGACCCTAAGCCCCTAAACCCCTAAACCTGGGTCCTCCAGCCCAGGACAAAATAGAAGTTGTATAGGGTAAAAAAGAACCAAAAGCAGAAGAAACAGCCGGTCAAGCCACCGGACAGGAACCCTTGATAATTTGTGTAGATCCTGAACCCTAAACCCTTAACCCTAAATCCGAAACCCTTAACCCCGAACCCTAAACCCGAAACCAAACTGTAAATCCCAAACGCTAAACACTCTGTGACCAACTGGAGGAGTAAAGTCCCTCTGTAACCCAATCTTCGCCAGCTTGCAAGTAATCCAGAAATTAGGGCTTAGGGCCTAGAGTTTATAGGGTTCAGAGTTCAGGGTTTATAGGAGAGTTTAGGGTTTAGACTTTAGGGTTTAGAGGGTTTAGCGGGTCTAGAGTTAAGGGTTTATAGGGTTCCTGGGTTTAGAGTTTAGAGTGTAAAGGTTAGGGTTTAGGGGGTTTAGAGTACAGGGCTTTTTGGGGGCGCGGTACTTATAATGAGGACTAGAGTATGTTTGGGTAGATGGGTAGTCCCCCTCCATTTATGGAAACCGCAAGTGTTGACTGAGCAGTTAGGAGTCTTATTTCTTTGTATAGATATATCCTCTTGTAGAGCTTGTGTGTTTGCTGTAAGCATTGTGCCAGATATCTAGGCTCCTGTAAGCCTCAAACCCCTTGACCTTGGATCTAGTTTTAAAATTCAGGGCCCCTACAATACTCGGAGGGTCAGGGGAACTTATGCCCGCGACCTTACCCGTTAAACCCCTAAACTCCCAAACCCAAGACGTTAAACCCTAAACGCCCTAAACCCTATTAGCATCCCGCTTTCTCAGGTCCAGCGTCAGGCACCGAAGACGAACCTGCGCGCCTCTGGCTACGGCGCCTCCTCGCAGGCAGCCTAAAGGGGGTTTAGGGTTTAGGGTTCAAGGTTTAGGGTTTAGGGTTCAGGGTTTGGGGTTTAGGGTTTAGTGTTTAGGGTTTAGGGTTTCAAATAACAGGGCTTTAGAGCCCAAATACCAATAATATTAGAGTATTTGGGCCCTAAAGCCCTACTCTTTGGGTCCTTGGACCCTTTAGGGAAATGGTTTATGGTGTAGGGATTTGAGTTTGAGGGTTAGGGTTTAGGGTTGCTAAACCTTAAACCCCAAAACCCCAAACTAAATCTAGACCCTAAACCCTGAACCCTTTAAACCCTCAACCCTAAACCGCGTTGACATTTTCAGTCTGCGGTGTCTATGCAGTATCCTACAGAGATATTAGGTGCATACTATTAAGGGGGGTATAGGGGGGTCAAATAGGGTTATGTGGGGTCTAGACCGACCTAGCCCTGATACCTGAAGCCCGGTTCAGAGTTTAGGGTTTAGGGTTTGGGGTTAACCCCAGCCAGTGAGAACCGCTGCTTGGCCGCCATCATGGTTTACAGGGTATCGGCTAGACAAAGCCAACGCCACTTTCAGCAAGTATGGCTCTTCGCGAAGAAGGCCTGAATTCAGGCCTCATTCCCTGTGTCCTGAACAAAACCCTAAACCCTCAGGGGGTCTAGATTACGTGAACACGTGCTCAGGAACATTGTCTTTGAGTAACTAAAACGGTCCACCCGTGCGTGCGCACATTCCCAAAGTACTATCAGCCTTAATTCACAGAAACGTGCAGAATCTAGAAATTTCCCAACTTTCAACATTCAGCTTATGCAGACCGAATGCACATCCCTGATCCCTAAAAGGCAAACCAGAAGTCTATAGACTTAAGCCACTATACTCTAATGGGGTTCTATAGGGGTATACATAGGGATAATGGAAAGAAAATGCAAGCCACAGGGATTATAGGGGTTATATAGGGGGTATATAGGGATTATAGGGTATATATTGGGGTCACATATGGATAATGGAAAAGAAAATGGAAACCACTATAGTATAATGCGTTATATAGGAATTATAACGCCTAGACTTTACACCCACCACCTCAACTCAAGTTTCAGAACCCCAAATCCCAATACCGCTAGGGTTTAGGGTTTGGGGGTCCAAAGCCTTCTGCGCCAGGGCTCCATGGGCGCCATGGCCGGCCTGGGTGCTGTGGCCGGCCTGGCCGCCGCCGGCGTCGCGGGCCAGCGCGCCAGCAAGGGCCGCACCTCCATGCGGCTTGATGCTTTTGAAAGGGGTCATCTACTTAAACCCTAATCCCTAAACCCCAAACCCTAAACCCTAAAACCCTAAACCGCTAGGGCTAGTTATGAGGCCTTCTGAAGGGATTCTGTGGGTTGTCGAATGAAGGATGCACGAACTTGGGGTGTCGGATTTAGGGCTCAAGGTTTGCGAAGGCATCTCTATGCAGCCTGACTTGAGGCTTCAAGGGCTTGAGGTTGGGGTTTATAGAAATTTAGGGTTTGAGGTTTAGGTTTAGGAATTGGGGTAGGGTTTACGGCCTACGATTTAGGGTATACAGTTTAGGATGTAGGGAAGGGTTTAGGAGTTCAGGGGTTTAGGCTTTTGAGTCTCGGGGTGTGCTTTGAGTTCCCTCCTGGGCAGCATGGGCTTCATCAAGTTGAGCATGCAGGACCAAGAGGCACTACTCAAATACGCTATAGTCCAAACTCCTTAAAGGTGGTTATCTAGGGCTGTAGGGTATTTAGGGATACTAGGACTATAACTCAAGTGGATGTGGAAAGGCACGAAATGCCATAGCTGAATTTTTGCCGTAGCTGATATCAGAGAGGTGCATGGAAGTTGTAAGCCCTTTGTTTGACAAATAACATGCACGCCCCCAAGCCCTAAACCCCAACGCCCCCAAAACCCTAAACCCTACCCGGACCTCGAAGGAACTTCGTAGCACATCCACAAGGATATTATTCTACATACTGTTGGTCCATTCACACCCTAAACCCCAAACCCTAATTTTATACGTTAAACCCTAAACCCCAAACCCTATACCCTGCAATCCCTCAACCCCAAACCCTAATCCCTAAACCCTGAACCCCTAAACCCGAATCCCGAATCCCTAAACCCTAAACCCCAGCGGAGGCAGGCCGTGGGCGTCGGCATCAACGGCTTCGGCCGCATCGGCCGGCAGGTTGCTCGCATCGCCATGAAGGCCACCTTGGTGGGTTTTGGGGTTTAGGGGTTTAGGGTTTAGGGGTTTAGGGGTTTAGGGTGGCGGGTTTGGGGTTGAGGGTTTGGGGTTTAGTGTTCAGGTTTTTGAGCCATACTCTCAACTCCCTGAAGGGGGCTTCAGTTTGGACTATAGCTCTTTGAGTTTCGGATGGAGGGATTGGGTCCAGGGTTTAGGGCTCAGGCCTTAGGGCTTAGAGTTTGCGGTTTAGGGTTAGTATGAGGATATAGTATGATGCTTGACTCCAGTGTCCCCAAAGGTGCTCAAAGTAGAGGTCGTCACAGGCTTTGGGGTCAGTTCAGGGTTTAGGGTTCTGTACGGCTTATTGCCGTGTAGGGATTAGCTGTTGAGGGTTTAGGCGTGTAAGGCTTATACCTGGAAGCCACTAAACCCTAACCCTAAACCCTGCACCTGAAATTTACCAGCTTTAAAGTCACATATAGGTCAATCTGAGGGTTACCAAGGGACCATTGAGAGTCGTCATAGGGGTCCTCTTAGTGATTTGGTATAGTCCTTTATAGTTCCTCGTATATTCCCGAGCCCATGCCCACTCATTATGTGGGAAGTATTGCTAAACCCTAAGACCCTAAAGCCCTAAACCCTTAAACCCTCAACCCTAAAACTAAAACCCTAAACTCTAGACCTCTAAAACCGCCTTTAACTACACAGGAAAATACGTGACTTGGGCTTTCGCAAGGTGGAAAGCCCGCAGCTCTCAACAAGGTGTGGGGCTCTGTCTTCGGGGATTGCAAGCCCTAAGTTGTCATCGGAAACTAGACCCTGAACCCCGATCTCTTGAACCCTAAGTCCTGAAGAATGGCCCAAAACCTCCTAAGATTTGGGAGCCGGGTATACCCTGAACCCTAAACCCTAACTCCTTAAAATCTTTATAGTCACCCTCGAGAGTGCCTGTACAAACCTTGGACCCGAAACCTTCAACCTGAAACCATACACCTTAAACCCTAAGACTTGAGTACTGCCCCCACCCAGTATCAGCAACAGTCAATATATTAGGGTCCGATTAAGGGCTATATATACCCATATTACAATTATTATTCAACTGTTACTGGTGGGGGGGCAGTATCCAACCTAAGACTTAAACCCTAAGCCCTAAACCCTAAACCCTAAACCCTTAAACCCTAAACCCTAAACCCTTAAACCCTAAACCCTAAACCCTAAGCCCTTAACACTGAAGGACCCTGAGACCGACCTCAAGCTCATCAACGCGAGCTACGACGCGGACTACCTGGCTTATATGATGAAGTGCTCCATTAAAACCTAGGGTTAGGGTCTAGGGTTTAGGGCTTAGGGTTTAGGGTTTAGGGTTTAGGGTTTAGGGTTTAGGATGAAGTGTTCCCATTACAGGGGGAGAAAGGCGGGTCATAACCTAAGCCCCAAACACTCTAAAACCTAAAACATCCTAAACCGTAAGCACTCTAGACCCTAACCACCCTAAACCCTGAACACCCTGAACTCTACGCACCCTAATCCCTGAACGCCCTAGACCCTAAACACCCTAAACCCTAAACACCATCAACCCTAAACAGGGGGCTCTACAAGGGCAATGTAGGGTTATAGGCATAGGGACCCTAAACCCTAAACCCTAAACCCTAAACCCTAAAAATGTAGGGTCATAGGCATAGGGTTTTTTTGCTCTACAGGGCTTCGGCTTGCCCTACATGCTCCAATTCTTTCCGGGTTTAGGTTGATATGAGCCATAATCTAAACTCCTCAAAGGGGGGTTATATAGGGCATGATTTTTGATATAGGTTTTAGGGTTTAGGGTCTAGACTGTTAAAAGAGGGTTATATAGGGGATAATGTAGGGGAGTGTTATGGGGATTACTGAAAAGGCTACTAGGAGTTAAGATTATGGTTCATATGGTCCCTTAAAGGGATGGCAATCAGTTTCAGAAATTTCACTTTCCGCGCCCCGGCTGAGTGAGGACTGGGGTATGCTGCAGCCAAGAAAATACCAGTCATAAACACACAATAGGAGTCATAATGGAACTAATAAAAGCCACAGTGACACTCTTCAATATAACATCCACATAGAAACAACAGCACTAATCAGTAATCAATTGGCAGCAATAATAACCCTCAAGCCCTAAGCCCTAAACCGCATAAGAAGAATACGTGTCCTCGCTTCGATCAAGCCCGCACTGACCTGCAGCGTTGCCATCATATTCCCGCGGCCTGGTGGCGATGAGCGGGTTACCGCAAAATCGGCATGGGTTACCATCCCCGCTGCCCGGACTCCTGCTGAGCGGGTGGATCGGTTGATTGCCTCTTGCAGGCTCACTCTGGCCATCACCAGATGCACAGCACCATTTCGCAGCAAGGTATCCGGTCCTTGCACAAGCGTTTGCTGATCAAGAAGATCCTCCTTCGTTTTTCCCGTTTCGGGTTTGTGCCCATTAAGGCTTAGGTTTTCCTACACTATTTGCTACCGGCCCTCCTGTACTTCTGAAATTCTTTAAATTTGCCCTTTAACCCTTGCTGGCAGTTGTGTGTTCGCTGATTAAACCCTAAATCCTAAACCCTAAGCCCCCTACAAGCTGATGATAATACCAGGTACGACACCATCCACGGCAAGTACGATGGAACCGTCGAGGTCGATGGCGACTCGCTGGTCATCGATGGCCAGAAGGCCACAATGCGGGGCGGCAGATTGTGGTTCTAACACGAACCTAAACCCCAAAAGTATGTGAAATAATAGCCCTAAACCCATAATAATAGCCGTAAGGGCCATTATTCTACATACTTTTGGGGTCCAGGAATGCCCCAAACCCTGAACCGGCTTCATGGTTTAGGATTGCTTTCAACATCAGACGTTTCACGACAACCCTAATCATGGTTTCTTTAGACGTAGTGGCGAGTGTAGATATTGGGCGCGCAGTGCTACTTGCAGGGGAATCTTTGATCCGTTGTTTCGACGCACTTGTGCCTACAAGTAACCCAGAAACGGCAGTAGTCTACAGTTACTGTCTAAGTGCCACGCCTCCAACTTTGCATAAAGAGCGCCATCGTTATTTTATTTGCTCTCAATAATATTCATGCTTCGTCACGTAGTCCATCGCGGCTACCATCACACGAAGTTCGAAGCTCTCCGCGATACAACTAGAGTATCCTATCCCGTGTATAACCCCGCTTAAGGACTTTATATTATAGCTCATACAAATATAATAGACAGGATGTCAGGAAATATCATCTGATCGCTCAGGGCTTGGAATGGGTCCTTCGCACCGAGAATCACATCCGTTTAGGTTTTAATGGCCTAGGGCCAGGCCTTTGTAATGTGAATCCGATGGCCTTGAAATAGTTCACGAGGCCATTCGTCTTCAACGGGCCAAATTTAGTGCCCTAAACCCTAAACCCTAAACCCTAAGTAGTTACAGAAGCTCCGGCCCTTATGTGGATACCACTAACCCCTAGGGCGCCAGTTCCTCAAGCCTCCAGCCCTAAACCCCAACCTTCAACAGGGTTTAGGGTGTAGGGTTTTCAACCCCAAATACTAGCCCTTAAACCCTAAAACCGTCAACCATTTTCCCTAAGCCCTAAAACCCTAAGCCCCAAACTCCTGAACCCTATAGCCTATAGCTCTTAACCCCTAAACCCTTAAACCATCTTCCCTAAGCCCTATAATCTTTAGTCCTTAATCTTCAAAACCTGCACCCCTCAACCCTAAGCTGAACACGACGCGCCCCCAGCACGGATACTTTATAGCCCTAAGAAACTTAAACCCTAAACCCTAAACCCTAAATCCTAACCCTGGAACCGACCGTGGAGGTTGCTCTGTCCCATACCCGTGACCCTGCCGAGATTCCTTTTGGAGAGAAGCTTGGAGCAGATTCGGAAGGTTCTACTTTTCTTAAAGGGTTTGGGGTTTAGAGTCTAGCGTTTAGGGTTTAGGGTTTAGGGTTCAGGGTTTAGGATTTTAGTTGAAGTTTTGGGCTTTGGGTTTAGGATTCTACTTAATTAGGTTTCGGATTTGTGGTTTGACGTTGAGGATTCTACTTAGGTTTGCCATTTAGGTATTAGAATTCTGCTCAGGTTTGGGGCTTAGGTTTTAGTGTTTTCACTATTTAGGTTTAGGGTTTAGATTCTATCTATTCAGGTGTAGGGTTTACATTATATTCAGATTTGGGACCCTAAGCCCTAAACCCTAAAAGATTCTTATTAGGTTTGTCCCTCTAAAGGATTTATAGCGTTTAGGTTGGGACACCTAGGGTTTAGGGATTTGAACTTAGGGTTTAGAATTTCTTACCTTTGGTTCGTGCAGGGTTTTAAGGTTTAGCGTGTCTAACCTTTTGTTAGTTTGGGTTTTTTAGGGTCTAGCGGTTGAAACCTCTGGTACGCGGGGAATGAAGGAATAAACGAATAACTATTACTGGCAATTATTCAGGATCGTATAAGGGCTCCTGTAAGGATGCATTCTTTGTTTCCTTGCGGCCTGAAGCCCTGAACCCTGTACCCTAGACCCGTCTATAGGCGAGTATGTTAGGAGATTGCGTGCCCTAGGCAGACATCAGAGGAATGGTGGAAGCATCATCACCTACGTGGGCTATATAAGTTTGAGGCCCTATAGACTCTAAACCAGAAACCCTAAACCCTAAACTTAAAGAGGTTTCCTGGGCAAAGAGTTGGGTGACACAAACGAAAGTAGGCAATTAGGGGATGTTGGCTACTCCAACCCCTCAAGTGAGGACTTTTCAGGTGCAAACCCTAGGGCTGGGAGTACGAATTTTCGTTCCTATTGAAAGGGTCACGTCACTTATGGCACCTCAAGACGTATCATACCCCTCAAGTAGATAAAATATGGGATATATGGAGATCCTATTATGGGTATGGTCGAAGCCATATTCTATCTACTTAAGGGGACTATAAGCCTAAACCTTTGAACCGTGGATGCAAGCCACAAGTTTCACATGCACAGCCTTCCCACTTTTTCGTCCACAGGCACGGTGCTGAGTACGTCTGCGAGTCCACGGGCGTCTTCCTGACCACCGAGAAGGCGAGCAGGATACGGTTTCCTGTAAGTTGCACGATTTTGAAGCTTCATTACCTAGGCATACAGAGATGCATGGGGGTCTCCCAAAATTAGGGGTACCTTTTGGGGTCCCTGTAGTCAGGATTTTTGTATGTTGGGATCTATCTTGGGGTCTACCTATTTTGGGAAACTACCACATACCTACACTCATCAACACCATATCCGTACACACGAGAAGATGCACAAAGAGTTTAAATGCAGATGATTTAGCTAGAGTTTGTAGAGGATTTATGTTCGGATCCACTCCCTAACAACTAGCCCATAGCAGGTTTAGGGTGCAGGGTTTGAGCCCCCCGGAATACAGAACCATCGCACAGTCGGCATAGATGGATTACTTGGAGAAGCAAGCAAAAAGAACAGAGTCTAAGGTTTTTGTATTATTCTTGGCTCTGTGATGAAGAAACACATGACAGTACACTTATTATGACAAGGATGCTGAAGGCCGCGGTTGCGATTGATACCAGCTCGACATCTTAAACAGTGAAGAGTATCAGTCTCAATGATCTTTTCCATTCCCATCCATATGCCCTATAAAGCTATAAGCCCGTAAACCCTGGGTGACACGAAGAAGGCTTTGGGTGTCCCTGACGTAGTTCTTGGAATTTGTGGCCAGTGTCTGGTGTGTAGAATTCTGCTTTTCGGGACGCTTTCGCTATACGGACACCTGAAAGCCCTAAAACTCAAACCCCACACCCCAAGCTCTAAAGCCTACACCCTAAAACCCTCAAACCTACCCCAGACCCGAAACCTTAAACCCTGTATAATCCGTATAGAATATAATCCCTATAGTAGTTTCCATTTTCTATTCCATTGCTCCTATGAAGCCCCAATCCCTAATCCTTAAACCCTAAACCCCGATCCCGAAATTGGAAACCCTAAACCCTTAAACCCTGAGCCACTCAACAACCTTGAACGCATCCTAACGTTGAAACCCTAAACCCTAAATCCTAAGCCCTGATCCCACAGAACCCCTTTAAAGCCACCCCCCCTAATATTAATCCCCGCCCACCCTCCTAATACTTCCCATGTACTATAGTATACCACATAACCCTAAACCCTAAGCCTTAAACCTTAAACCTCAAAGCCTAAACCCTAAACCTTAAACCCTAAACCCCCCGAACTTTGAGAACTCGAGGTTCAGCCTCACCTCAAGGCCGGCGCCAAGAAGGTGATCTTTTCCGCCCCAGCCAAGGCAATTGATATAGGGTTTAGGGTTTGGGGTTTAATCCAAGGCCTTGTAACTTAGGGGGTTAAAGGGGGGATTTTATAAGGGTTATATAAGGTTATATCGGGATATATAGGGTTCAGGATTTAGGGTTTAAGGTTTCCCGAAATTAGGTATAGCTTATTTGGGGGACCTTATAATAAGGATTATAGTAGATTGGGGTCTATATTGGGGTCCCTCTATTTAGGGAATCTACCGTATGAAAAGGTGAATGGTGCAGGGTTTAGGGGCTTAGGGTTTTGAGCGTAGTGATGAAGGGTTTAGGATGTAGGATTTGAGAGTTCAGGGTGTAGGGGTTCCAGGTCTAGGGGTTTAGTCTCGAGGTTAGTAGGAATGGAGATATATCAGGCCCTTTGAAGGGGTTAAAGAGGGCTAGAGGGTGCAATTCAAGGAGTTAGGGCCTAGGGTTTGAGTAGGGCTTAGGGTCCCTACCCTCAACACAAAACCCTTTCAAAGGGCTTTGGGTTCAGGCCTGTTGGTCTAAGGTCCCTTTCAAAACGCTCTGGGGCATGGATTTATGCATAGAGCTAAACATGTTTAGGGTTAAGCGTTTTAGGGTTTGGATTTGGGGCTTAGGGTGTATAGGGCGTGTACTGTAGAAGCCGGAACTAGTTACCAATACTGTCTGCTTGTAAGACTCGAACATTTATGGTACAATGCGTACCATTTTGGCCCTTAAAGAGGTTAAGATGGGCTTGGGGAGTTTGGAGAGTTTGGGGGCCGTTGTAAGTATGAGGGGACAAAGGCAAAAGGCTTGAGAGGTTACAGGAAGTATGAACTGAAGTCTCCAACAGGGTGGTGTCGGGGTTATGCTCAGCGGCTGCAGGGATCCTGAAGGTTGGTATGAGCTATAGTTTAAACTCCATCAAGGGAGTTATATAGTGGATTATATAGGGGAGTTTTTAGGGGTTATTAAAGGGCATGCTAGGAGTTTAGCCTATAGTTCATATGTTCAGTAACCTTGGTAGTCTAAACCCTGAACCCTAAACCGAGCAATTATGGCCGACGGCCTCAGGAGGCTCTTTCTGCGCAGTGCGCCTTGCACAAAGTTCATAGGAGCTACCGTCAGTATTATAGTGTAATGGGAAAGGAAACTCTTGCTTTTGGGTTCCCTGAACCCTAAACCCTAAACCCTAAACCCTTTAGGGTTCAGGCTTGCCCACGGACCATGAAGGGTGGACATAGGGGTCCCTTTGGCAGTTTGATGCCGTCGCAGATCTATTCCCTGTAACCAGGGCCATATCCACCAATTACACGGTTTAGGGTTTAGGGTTTAGGGCTTAGGGTCTAGGGTTTAGGGTTTAGGGAAGTAATTATGAAATACTGCTTCTAGCCCAAATGATCCTGGACCCTACGCCTTACACCCCAGATCAGTCCATAGAGCACCCTAACGCCCCAGACCCTAAAGCCCCAAACCCTAAACCGACTCCCGAAGAGGACGACTCCCACACCATCGTCATGGGCGTGAACGAGGACTCGGGATCTTCTGTTTAAACTCTTGGTGTTTCGGGTTTACGGTGCAAACTTAAGCCCCCCCTGGTTCCCATGGAGGTCTATTCCAGGTTAGCGGGTTCTAGTCAAACCCCAAACCCTCAGCCCTAGGGGAGGGGATGGACACCCAAACCCGAAACCCTTGGAACACTTCTTAATAGAGGTAACATGCAGACCCCGGATGATTTCGCCATTCAGTTGCAGCAAGGTACCCTAAACCCTAAACCCCCAGCCTTAAACCCTAAATCCTATAAACCTTAAAACCCAAACCCCAAACGACAAACCCCAAACCCTAAACCCTATAAATCTTAAACCTTAAGCCCTAATCCCTAAGCCGGTGCTGCAAGCGAGCTGGCCTTCAAAGTTTTTTTTGCGCGCTAGACGTTCTTCACCCTAAGCCCGAAAGCCTTAGGGTTTAACGTTCATTTAGGGTTGGGGCAGGCATTATTCAGCTGTACAATGCCAGTTTCCATTTCTTGTTCCATTTTTCGATCTGCTGCTCCACTCGACTCTCCATTATATCCACAACCTGCTCAGCCCTAAACTTTGAACCAGAAATCATGAATCCTAATTATCGCTTTAAATCCTGAACGGTTTTTAAGGCCCTTGTACCCCTGTTTAGGGCTCTACATTCTGAGGACACCTACGACCCTTCCATGGAGTGCGTCTCGTGCGCATCCTGTGACTTGGTTTAGGGCTTAAGGTTTAGAAGTTCAGGCTCAGGGCTTAGGCTTTAGGGGTTTAGTTTAGTGCTTCTGGCTCAGGGTCTTGGGGTTTAGGGGCCCAGGGTGCAGAGCCTTGGATTTAGGGCTTAGTGTTCCGGGTTCAGAGCCCCCTAAATGTATCCACCTTCCCATTTCCGACAAGTTTTCAGTCTAGGCCAAAGTCTGCAACGTGCCAGGGAAATCCACACGGGTTGTTCGCAAAATTATGCTAGAACTTCGGCACCTATTATTTAGGGGTGCCAATTGGGACTCCAAATTCGGGAACTACACGCAAGCAGCAGCCCATCGCATGTGCCGAGCTATACTCTTGTGTGGTTAGGTAGGAATGAGGGCATGGATCCTTATACTTCTCCCACGTAACCCATTATAGCAGTTTCCATGTTCTTCTCCATTCCTTCTAACTTCTAAGCCCTAAACCCGAATCCCTAAACCCTATATAACCCCATTATGGTAGCTTCCTACTTCTTTTCCGTTCTTTCATTCGCAGCTAACCAAAAGCCAGTAAAGTTCTAAACTCTAAGCCCTAAACTCTGTTTCCATTTAAATTTTGCCATTTCTCCATTATAGGTAACCAAAGGCCTTTAAACCCTAAACCGTTAACCCTGAACCCTAAACCCTAAGCCCTAAGCCCTAAACCTCAAAAATCCCTACATAGCTCTATATATCCTTATAAAGGCTGGACGGCCCGATGCAGCGATCTAGGGCTTTAGGGGATTCAGGGGATATCGGGGTTCAGGGTTTTTAGGGGTTGAAGGGGTTTAGGGTATGAGTGTTTTAGGGCTTACGGTTTTACAGTTTTTTGGGGCTTATGAGGGTATACCTGTGGCTCCAAAAAGCTGCAGTTTAGTAGTAAGTACCCCTTAATTAGTAGGTATAACCCAGTAGGTTATTGGGGTTGCAGGTAAACTCTATATAGCCCCAAAACCTTAATCCTAAACCCTAA